TGTGTACAAAAGCATTGTTAATTATGTTCAAACTTGAAGATTAGGCAGAGCAAATTTATTTATTTGCTTTTTCCTGGTTTTTCTTTTTCCAGGAGATGGTACACTCTGAGAGAGCTTGAGGCGGTCACCAATGGGCCTGTGAATAAACATTAAAATAAATTTTGTTTGAAGTCCAATGCAGTCCAGTTCATATTTGTACCAAACAACGGACTAGACTTTAGTCCGCAGTCTAGTCCAATTTAATGTGCCAAACAACTTATTAAAGTCTAATCCAATACAAGCCAAACCAGTCCAATACTCCAAGCCCAATCCTAATCAGTCCAGTCCAGCCCACCAAACGGGCCTCAGAGTTTGGCAATGGGACGAGAAGAAAAGAATGATTGTCGACCTTCAGCTATTATCTCCTCAGTTGTTTTATTTCTCAAAATGACAATTGTTCCAAAGTAACGTCCTATCCGTCCTAACAGTCTTGAAGTTATCTCTAACTCATCCTGCAATTTCACACAAAAATAACCAAAATTATGAAGCTCGTAATGGTTAGCTTAAATGATGAGGGTATGGTGTTTTGTGACTCGCTTGTCAAGTTTGGGCATGCGAAACATCTTAGCACCAACTTGAGAGGGAGTATTGTCGAGTCCTTACTTAGTTGTTTGATTGGTCAATGTCGAGTATGGTGTTCTATGACTCGCTTGTCAAGTTGGGCATGCAAACAACTAAGTAAGGACTCGCCTACAGAGGTGCATGGGGAAATGGGTGTTGGATTGGAGCGGGAAAGCTTTGCTTACATGAAGCTTGGCAGTTGACATGTAGGGGATGGAAATGTCCACAGAAACATTCATAGGGTGGCCCGGAACATATAGGCTGCGCAAAAACCAAGTACATCAACAAGGTTTGCAATAGCACCATTAGCCAAATTTCCACCTCTAATCCTGCACAAATGAAAGAAACTTACATTAAAAAATCTATCATCTTAAACAAAACATTTTTAATTTCTAGAAAACATATTAAGAGGAAATTTCGAAGAATGTGATCTTAAATGGGGTCTTTGTAATAACCCTATACCTAAAACTACTGTAGAATATGATGTTCTAATTAATTTAAGGTGCAAAAAGAATTTTGGGATTCAAATTACGATTTTAACTTTTGTTTTGTTTTTAGGGTAATGATTTCCCCACTCCCATTTTGACCACTTACACTCCTTTTTCAGTCATAAAATGGAGTGTAAGTGGACAAAATTGGAGTGGGGAAATCACCACTCTTGTTTTAAAGTGTTTTGGCAACGCCCTAATAATGAGTGAAAAAGAGTTATCTCTATCATTAACATGTTTATGTGCTATGTATGTTCACTTAATATATTTTTCATGTCATTTTTTGAAAGTAGAAAATCATTTCTATATATTGGATAGATTTGCAATTTTAAACAAAAATGACCAAAATACCCCTATGCAGGGAATTATTTCACTATTCTAGAAAATAATATTTTAATACTCTAAATGTTCATAAAACCTATTGCTCATCTATTTTGGAATGTAGAATTTTATTTCTTACATATTTGTTTCCGGGAGTTAGGTGAAATTACGAAAATGCCCTTATACGTATTTTGCTTCTCTACACATATAACATATCTTTGTGCTTCTAAATGTTCTAAAAACATGTTTCTCGTTCATAATATCTCAAACACTCAATTGTAAAGATTTAAACACCCCACTTGGCCTTTAACCATACATAGTAACCAAGTAACTTTGAGAGAAACTGAAGTTCATTTCCAACTAGTTCTTAGCCTATAAAAGGGCAGCTGGTGTTCATCTCATTACAGACTACAACTCAAGGAAAGACATCATACATAAACAAAGTTCATTTGAGAGAAAAGTTTTAGCTAAAGTCACCTCCCTCAACAACTTCCATTTTTGCACTAAGGAAGCTCAAATTCGAATCCAAGCTTCCAACCTTCTCATCACCACTTCATAAACATCTAGTGTAAGTATATGAACACCTACCTAAAGTCTTTTTCCTTAAGAATGGATCAAACATGAAAGAACGCCTTATTCTCTATAAAAAAAAACGTCACTTCTGTAAAGTATTCATTTTCGTGTTACATTTTCTGTTTTAGCTTCAAATAATTATACCATCACAATCTACAAGAAAACCCTTAAGTTTAGGCTTTTGAATCACCTAAAAATGTTAAGGAACAAGAAAGTTAGAGCTAAAACAAGTTTTATGAAATCCGGTAACAATTTTCCAGTTTCCGGCGGTTCTATGAAAATTTTGCTGTTTTACTTTGTTTTAATCTGCTTCAATGCTTCTATATATGTCTAACATGATTATAAACTTTATATGTACATTTAGAAAGAGTTTTTAGCATCAAAGTTGTTTCTAAAATCAAATTGCTCAAAACTTTTCCGCCCAAACTCGTCGGAAAACTCGAAAGAAGTTCATAGTTTCAAATAATATCTCACTCAATTCTCAACCGTTTTGAACAAAACTTTGTATACTTACAAACCTTACGATGTTAACTGTAAATCTGGAGTTTTGGGTACATAACGGATCAACACGTAAAGGGAGGACAGATCGAAACATAAACTGCTCAGTTTAGCTTTATCAAAACAGTTTACTAATTTAACTGATCATAACTTCCTCAATTCTCAATGGTTTTTAACAAAACTTTGTATACTTACAAACCTTATGATGTTAACTGTAAATCTGGAGTTTTGGGTAAGTAACGGATCAACACGTAACGATGAGGACATATCGAAACATAAACTGCTCAGTTTAGCTTCATCAAAACAGTTTACTATTTTAACTGATCATAACTTCCTCCATTCTTAATGGTTTTTAACAAGCTTTATATCATTATAAAGCTTATGATGTTAACTGTAAATCTGGAGTTTTGGGTATGTAACGGATCAACACGTAAAGAGGAGGACAGATCGAAACATAAACTGCTCAGTTTAGCTTTATCAAAACAGTTGACTACTTTAACTTATCATAACTTTCTCAATTCTAAATGGTTTTTAACAAACCTTAAATCGTTTTAAAGCTTATGATGCTAACTTTCAATATGGAGTTTTTAGTAATAAACTGATCAACACGAAAAGTTAAGGACAGCTCGAAACCTAACATGCCCGGTTTAACATTGGTGTTGATTTATGTTACATTGGTGTTGATAAAGTATTGTTTAATATACTATGATGAGAAGAATGATTCTAAGTACATTGACTACATGAGATTATGGATTGGTGGAGTATTAAGAGAAAGAGCTTGTGGTGTATTTTAGATTATACTTGGCATTATGAGAACAATCTTGGTATTAATTATTTTGATTATTTAATAGTGTTGTATATCGGTTTCGTGTACTTACTGGGTCACTGACTCATGATACTATATAAATCCCTATGATATTTATTTGTTTTAAACAGGGAAGATTTATTTCCTCAACTCGAGCAGCAGATTCACATGTCATATTTCAATATAATATTGGCCTTGAATTTGGGGGTGTGACAGTCTTTAGTTTCTACAAGAATGATATTTGACACCTAACCATCATTTTAACATATCAACAAGGAAATGTTGACCAAAAAAATATATATATATATCAACAAGGAAATGCTTGGCTATTTAATTACCTATCACGAGTATTATCTTTAGCCAAGTTAGAGCAAATATCAAATATCAAACATTAAATTTGAATTTGATGACTTATGTGGCAATTTCACATATAATAGAGTTTTATATTCCACCCGATATGTCAAATTAAAATATTATTTTATCACATAGTGTTTATTGATTTATTAATTTCTAGGTACAATAATTGTAAAAATATAATGAAATAACATCACAAAGTCAAACATCCAATCATAACAACAAAAGAGAGAAATGTTATTCCACATAGGATTTAACATTTCAGTTGGAGTGAATCTCTGCTGTTTTTTCTACATGTTAAAAATGCCAAGTTGGATTTAACATCTCCCTTGGAGGAGAAAACCTTCTCTAACACGGGGATGCCAGGGTAAGCATTCAAACTAAGTATCCCCAAACCTTAATTGTAGTGATGGGGTCATGAAGCTTAGTTGGAATGCTTACCCTGGCATCCCCATGCCAGAGAAGTTTTTCTCCCCTTGAAGATGCTCTTAGAATTGCATATCGTGCACAAAATAACATGACCTAAAAAGAAAACATATCATCATATGCAACTTCTCAATAATTACCCACCTATCCATCTCTCTCTGCTTCTTTCTCCCTCCCTCTCTCTCTTCTAAGGTCATCTCCAACTCATGAGGCACAACCCAAATAATCTCAAATTTAAGCCCAATTCATCTCCCAACCCAAAAAAAGTAAAGGGCTAAAATTTGGGAAAACCCAAACTTGGGGCCAAATACCAGTCCAGCTATTGCCTGGACTATATTTTTATTTTTTGTTGGAGCCCACTCAAGGCTGACGCAGCCCATGTGCAAGGAGGTAAAACAAAAGATCCATCATCTAGTACAATGCCTCCCATTTGTGATGATCAAAATCTTCCCGACTCTCCCATTGTCGAGCCTCAAGTTGAAAGAGTTTAGACCCAAAGAGTCGATATCGGTCAATATTTTTTTTGTTAAACTTTTATTTATATATAGAGATACATATTTGAGGGTAAGGATCATTATGTCCCCCTGTCTAGGTGCATCTTTTTATTTTTATAAATGAAATTCACTCGTACTGTCGAGTTTTTAAGGTGATCTTTACCTACTTAACTTTTAAATCCTGAATCCGCCACTGCTTCTTAGGACCTATAAAGCATTGTCAGTCGCATAGATTGAGAACAGTTGGATCCTTGATGCAATTGGATGGAAAATATTAAATGTGTGAGCAACTATCTTTAGCATCACTCTTATTAGAGATTGTGAACTATTGGATATTTGATGCAATCGGATATAATATGTCTCATTTTATCTGGTGTGAATGTATGCAGGAGTTTGAAATAAAAAAGAATCCAAGTCATTACAAAGCCTATAATTAGGTTATTTGGTCTATATGTCCTTCTAACATTCCGATCTTTTATTAAATAAAAAATAAATGAATACTTACAAAAAAGCAACCCTAATATGGAGAGTTCGCTTCACACATGGTTTGTACTTGTAAATGGAAAGGACTCAGAGTTTGCTAGCAGCAGGTGAACGAAACAATGAATGTCGACCTTCGGCTACAATCTCCCCAGTTGCTTTGTTTCTCATCAGGACTGATGTTCCAGAATAACCGCCTCTTTGTCCTAACCTTTTTGAGGTGATCTCTAACTCATCCTGAAATTTGACAATTTTATAGCCAGAAATGTCCAAATGCTAATCATATACCACCAGCACATATGAGGAGTAAGGCAAATCCCACGACTAGACAAAATAAAGTGCAACGGAATGATTTTGACAAACGACTCTCGACAAGGGACACCAACAGATATCAAACTCATGTTAACGAGATTTGAACTTGAGACCTCCAAATTGAGAGAAATGCCATGGACCAACAAATTTGGCAATCATTATAATAACCAAATTCTTCAAATCGAAACACGTAAGGAAATATTTCTAATCCATTGAACCCGTATTTCAAGGGAATTTTGAGCACGAAAGTATGTTAGATTGAACATATAAGGTATGGCCAATTCAGATGTTGCTAAAAACCATATGAATGTGAAAGAGAAATGGAGAAAATATATTACTAAGAGTGTGGAAAGCTTGCTTACATCAATCTTCGCCTTTGACACATAGGAGATGGACATGTCCACAGAAACGTTCATGGGGAGACCCGTAACATAAATAAGAGAAGCACCAGCTACATCAACAAGGTTTGCAATTGCACCATTAGACAGATTTCCATCTTTATCCTGCCAACAAAAGCAACACAAGTCCAAAATTGGGCACATCTCATGTTTTCAATGAACATCACCAGTACTAATTATATTTGGATAATGGATTTGAAACTAAGGATTTGGATATGAATTTTATTACAAATTGCTCCATGAGATTTCAGAACTATAATCAAACCCACACGTAAATTTGACAATTGAAGATAAAGTAAGGTGGTGTTCAAATACTCAAGAAAAAAAGAAACGTAGTGTTCTTTCAAATCCACTTCCTAAAGCATTTAAGCATAGAATTTTCTTTGGAACCCACAAATTAAAAAATAAACAAACTCTGCTTTCAGGCCTTGTTTTAACATTTGTTGCAAACCATTCAAACTTCTAGTTCTAACTCAAAATACCCAAAATGAGACCGACCTAATATGTAGTTGAATGTACCTATACTAATCACAGTCCACCAATGTAGAACATTCAAATTTTAGAAAAACTTTCGAGGTGTTATAATATGGGTGGATGACAGGTTTATGTTTTGGAGTATTAGTAAATGAAACACGAGTGGATTAGTAACACTGCGTGGATGTGTTGGAATACACCAAAAAATTTCTCCAAAGCATGTTAAGGTGATCAAGGGGGCACAGTATCAAGTATCAACTATCCAACACAAAAGTTTTTTTTTTTGGGAGAAAAGTCGATCAATTGCATAGAAGATTAGGTGTGGCTACAATCTTGAGAGATGAGCTCCTGAACAAGCTCTGGGGACTCACCAAACCAAAAACAGTCTTGACGCAAATGAAAAGCAAACAACGCAAGCCTGTTGGCAATCCAACACAAAGTTTAAGTGTTCTGAATTGGAAGTTAATTAAAGAACCTATTTTGAATTTTTTTTAATGCTTTTGAAACCAATCCAAATTATAAGGTAAAAAAATCCATGCTAATTCCAATAATTGTATTAGAAAAAGTTAATTAGTACCAATTAATTACCAAACGAGTGAGGGGTTAGAAGACTCACGGTGAGGCGAGGAGGGACCTTGAAAGAACAGACGGCGAATCCGGGTTCGACTTGGTCAACTCGGATGCCTGTCGTAGCAAACAGATCGTACAAACTCGGCCCTTTTCCGACTCGGATTTCTGGAACGACGACTCGCGACACGGCCTCTGACTCCTCCGGTGTCAGCTCTAAACACTTCTTCGCGTCCTCCATATTGGATTTTCGCTCATCTTTTTCTTCATACACCAAAAATAGAACTTAGAAGTAGAGAATTTACCAAAAATAGAAAGGAGTAGAGGACTTTACGCGTTGAACACCGGAGGTTAACTTAATTGGTGAGGAAGGGATCTTTGAACAAAAAATATTGTGAGGAAGGAAAAGAAATTGACTTTGAACTTGACATCATTGGTTTCGAAATAAGGCCATTTTTCAAGCCATTTTTCATTAGACTAGATCGGTTAACTACGTTGGAGATACATTAGATTCTTTCTAAGGAAAAACCTTCCCTGCATCGGGAATGTCCCTTTTGGAGAGTCCTGATTGTATTTCCTTTAAATCATATGGCCAAGCCGTATAAACCCTTCAAAACTCCCTTTATAGTTGATGAGTTTTTATTTATTTATTTATTTAGTTTGATTGTTCAAGTGTTTCTAGCTAACATTAACAGTTGTTAGGGGATACGTTTTGACACTCCTCCCCTCCCCTGAAGCTGTAATGATACAGTCTTGTAATGTCATTTACATAATTGCTTGGAAAGATCCAAGTGATGAAGCCATACATACCCCACTATCTACTTTGAAAATAACAAAAAAAAGAAAGAAGATCTCCACTATACTCTACCTCATTTCAAATCCCACTTTGATCCCCTACCTAACATAATGAGTTTGAGTCAGATACTGAGACTAATAGCTAAATGAATCTGGCAATTAGAAAGGAGAATCAAGGAGAAATTAGGCGGCAGTTAATTACAACCGAGGAAGGAGAATTTAGGATAAATAAAAACCCATGTTACTGAAATCTAAAATGAAAAAGAAAGCCTGTCTTTGAAGAAAAATGCAGGACCAGGAACCACAGTGAAAATTGGGGTTAAGTTTTTTTGTGTATGAATCAGCAAAAACATTAAGTAAAAGTAGTCCACTGAATTCGATTTCGAGGACAGAAACTGCACCATGTATGTTAGTCCATAACATTATACCCGAATAACTTTATTGCCAAGATTCTCAATCTTTATTCAATATGAAAAACAATTAATTACAAGAAGAAAGTATTATTCAACCTATGCCTCAAGGAGTTCCCTCCATATATAGTTCACATATATGTACAAAGTACTGCATGCTAAAGTGAAGGACTCATAGTTTGCTAGCATGTCTACCAAACAATGAATGTCGACCTTCAGCAATAACCTCCCCAGTTACCTTGTTTCTCATAAGCACTATCGTTCCCGAATAACCCCCTCTTTGCCCTAACACCCTTGAGGTGATCTCTAATTCATCCTGCAATTTGACACCAGGAGAGAACATACATTATAGCCAGAAACATCGAAATGCAAATCAGATACCGCACACACATATGACAAGTACGGTAAAGTAATAGAAACCAGTAAAGTAAATTGGTCATCATTGTAGAAGCCAAATTTTGCAAATAAATCCAGGAAAGAAAATATTTCTGGCGAATAGAAACCAGTGGCAAAGTTGGGGTTATATACAAGACAAGTTCCTTTAAGATTTTTGGGCACATAACTTCAAGCATTGGCAACAATGGTGACATTCAAGAAAGTCTGTTAAATTGAACATAAGCACGATTGAAATCGTGTACCACACACATACGACGAGTGAGGTAAAAACCACCAATGGAAGCACAAAATAGTAGCGAAACTCCATTCAAGAAAGTCCAACAAATTGGACACAGACATGGATTTATGACCAATTGAAAGGCAGCTATGTAAAGCATACATGTCAACGAGAAATGGGATAGTTGAGTGTCAAGGTTGCTTACATGAAGCTTCGCAGTTGACATATAAGAGATGCACATATCCACTGAAACATTCATAGGGAGGCCCTCAACATGAACAACGGCACCACCCACTTCATCAACAAGGTTTGCAATTGCACCATTAGCCAACCTTCCACTTCTATCCTGCAAAAATAAACACACGAATCACTCAACCACATAAAAAATAGTTCAATTGTAGCCAAAATTACTCAAATTTGTAAGTTAAAGAACCTATTTTGATACTCTTAATAACGAAATTATGAAGAAACAAATTTTAATTTCGATATCATTATGGAAAATTTTGCTTGTAACCAAACGAATGAGGGGGTTTAGATGACTTACGCTGAGGTGGGGAGGGACTTTGAAAGTACAGAAGACGAGTCCCGGTTCGACTCGGTCGACTCGGATGCCTCTGAGAGCGAAATACTCGTAGAAGCTCGGACCGGAGCCGGCTCTGTGAGGTGGAACGGTGAGCCTGGACACGGCCTCTGATTCGTCGTCGGTCAGCTCCAGAGACCTCTTCGCCTTCTCCATACTGGGTTTTCCTCCTTCATTCTGATCCATTTAAGGGGATGAGTTTGAGGGAAGTGGCTAAAACCGTTGAAATCAAAATAGCGGGGTCGGGCCGATTTTAGTAATACTGGGCCGATTTGTCGGCCCACTTACGCTTATGATAGACAAACACATGCAAACGGAAAATTTTCTGATGTGATGATAACACAACGTGTCATGTTAATGTGAAGTTATAAGTCTATTCATATAATACTTTGACGATTTGCAATATCTAAACCTTAAACTTGAAGCCCTAAATAGTGAACTTAGATTCGTATTATAGACCAAGTTTCCACTTATTTTAAAAATATAAAAAGTAGAATTACATTATTTGAATCGCATAGCTAATGCATTCAAAAATGTCGTTTATATTACATCATCTCATGTTTACTTATAAGGAATGGATTAGGATGGTTATTGAAATTACTCATATTCCATACATTCTATGTGTTTATTAAAATATGAATATTAGAATTATTTTGATTCCTAATCTTCGTGTAAAATCAAAAAGTATGTAGATTCTACATTACAATACGTAATCAAATACTTTAAAAACTAGGAATTAGATTGATTAGAGGAAGTCGTTAATATGTTCATAGCTTCCTCGATTCTTCACTTTTTGTAAACATGTCATTACTTTTAGAAATACCATTAGCCCGAAGCCTTCTAGTAACTTCTTTTTTAAAGGTGAAAGGTGAAGACAAACATTGAGCAAAGTATTTGAAGAATGAATATACTAGTAAATCAAAGATTCTTGTGCTCTTATTTCCCAGATCGGTTTTTGTATTTTAAAGCACAGTGTTTGGGAATGCTACATTATTGCGTATTTCTATGCCAATGGTGGTGTCCCTAGTGGAGTTGACCTGAAACTTGTGTGCACGTCCACAAGGAAGAGGTTGGATTTTGCATTTGGGGCCTATTATAGTCATTTTACAAAGAAACCAAAATCCAAGAAAGTGTGCAGTGCACTGATGTCGTGGGCTTACTGTGGGCCTAAAAATTGTTGCTTTCCTTCATCTTCACACTCTTATCTTTGATTCCTCTTCTTCTGCTCCAAGCAATGCCCAAAGATTCAATAGCAAGTTTCATTTGAGAAGATAATCATGAACAAGGCGATGGTTTAACTTCCTATCAAAATCACTTACCAATAGCCATGAACAAACTGATGTGTCTATAAACAAAGAATAGAATTATTAAGACAATTTTAGAGCCGTGCAAAGTTTTTTTCCAGGTAAGGAATCATTTCTCATTACTTCTTGCAAATCACGGCAGTACAATTCATACAAAAGTAATCTTTTGTTATTGTTAAAACACAAAAATAACTCATTAAAATTATGCACACATATCAATATTGAATTTGTGGGCAAGCTTCCATGTTAGAAGCCAAGTATTTTTCATTTTACAATAAATAGAGTCCATTTTTTTATGTAAATTTTTTTTGTAAGAGTTCTATTAAATAACATTTTTATTATATTTGAGCTGCAAAAAATGCCATAATTCCTTTGCATAGGATTCTTTTTTTTGTTGTCCTTGAAAGAAATATAGATCCTGCTGCACTGCATCTCCATGTCAAATATTTAGAAAATAGAAATTCATGGATGCAACAAAACAACCATAAAATCCCAAAAAGGGGGTTTATCTGGGGTTTCCATTTTTATCATTTTCCCATTCCGACCACAACTTCAACCGCTCTCTCTCTCTCTGAGTCCCCACTTTCTTCTTCTTCTACCATGCACCCACTGTCACTCTCACTCTCACTCTCCACCACCACCCCACATCTGCAACCCTAAAAAAGCCATGGCCCTACACCGCCTCTCCACCTGTCACCGCCACCCTACCAAACCCATCACCGGCTTCTGTGCCCCCTGCCTCAGTGAACGCCTCGCCGGCCTCGACTCCGCTGCCGCTGCCGCTCACCCCCAATCACCGACCCGGAACCCCCATTCCGGGTCCGAGCTCCGGCGCAGCAAGTCATGCTCCGGCCAGAGACCTGAGTCTTCGTCGGCCAACGCCCCCGACCCGACCCGGCGCAAGTCCTGCGACGTTCGGGCTCGGAACACTCTGTCGGAGCTCTTCAACATCGACGACGACCGCAAAGGCCTGCCCAGAAAGTTTGAGGTCGAACTGAGAGGAGAAGAGGAGAGAGACGATAGTGGAGACGAAGCTAGGGTTTTGGATTCGGATGCGGAGTTCAAGACGATGAAGGAGCTGATAGATCTCGAGTGGGAGAGGAAGAAGGGTGCTGGTCGGGATTTGAAGGAAATCGCAGGGACATTTTGGGGAACGGCGTCGGTTTTGGGCAAGAAGGTGAGGCAATGGCGGCGGAAGCAGAAGACGAAGAAGGCGGAGAACGAGGGTTTCGTGTGCCAGAAGCGGAGGGAAACCCAGTCGGAGGTTGGAGAGTGCGCATTGGGGAGAAGATCGTGCGATCCGGATCCGGATCCGGATCCGGGTCGAATGTCGCTGGACGAGCCTCGGGCTTCGTGGGACGGGTATTTGGGTCCGAGAGCCCACCACCCGAGGCTGACGCCGATGGTTTCGGTTGTGGAAGAGAGCTTGGAGAGGAGCCCAGGTGGGTCAGCTCAAACCAAAGACTATTACTGTTCGCAGCGGCGGCGGAGCTTCGAACGGTCGAGCTTCGATCGATCGGCGGCGGAGGTTGATGAGTTGAAGTTGGTAACAAATGCCAGAGTGTCCCCTGCGACTACAGAGTTGTTCTATGGCGCCAAGTTGCTAATTACAGAGAAGGAACTGATGGGTTCGGGTTCGAAGTTGAAATCTGTTGAAGATGAGTGTGAGAAGGAGGAGGAGGAGGGTCGTGTTGGGGTTGGCGTTGAAGCTGTTTGTAAAAATGCTGCTGTGGAATCAACCAATGGGATTGATCATCAAAAGCCGAATAGGCGGCACAAGAAGTGGAGTTTTTGGGGTTTGGTGCAGAGGAGAAGTGAAAAGAAATGTGTGGATGAAGACAATGCGGATTCTTGGCAAAAGTTGAGGAGGGTTGCCAATGGAGAAGCCAACAGTGGGTCTGTGAGCCAGAAGCTGATTCGGAGTTACAGCGTTAGCTGTAGGAACTCATGCAAAATGGTTGATTTGTTCAGCAATGTGAATGGCGTTGGTGTCGAGAGCAAAAGCAATGGTTTGAAGACTCTGCAGAGGAACAAGAGTGCTCGGTATTCGCCGAGCAATCTTGATCATGGATTGTTGAGGTTTTACTTGACGCCATTGAGGAGCTACAGGAGGAGTGAATCAGGAAAGAGTAGGCCAAGCAGCAACAACTTACAGTCTGTGCCCAAGAATGTCTTGTAAAGGTGTTTCATCGCATTCGCATCTTCTTCCATGGATGTCTTGTTATGTTGTAAAGCCATATATAAATGCATTTTCTTCTTGTATGAGGGCATACCCTCTCCCTAACACGTTTCTCCTAACAATGCCAAATTGCCAATAAGGCAATAATCAAAACCACAACTGTTTCCCTTTGACAATCTTTTTAAGTAGCTGCTTATGATATTTGAGGAGCCTTGTAATAATACAATTTAGCCTTTTTTTTTGTTCGAAATCGTTTGTTTCTCACTTCATTTTGTAGCTGTGTTGAATGTTTATTTTGTAGATCAAGTGTGTCTTTGTTTCGAGCATTTCTTTGTGAAGCGCTTTTGCTTGGTAGTAGTTTTGTTAGAAAGAAGCGTATCAATGTTGCATGGAAAAACCCAAGTCACTTTTTGAGGAAGCACACAAAGTGCTTTTATCCAAAATAGTATGCTTTTCTATTCCAACCAACAAAGTCTAAGATTGCCATCTTTTCAACAAAGGCAATGTAGGAACTGGGAATTAAGATAGATACTAATACTTTTGATAATTGTATTTTTAAAGTAAAAATATGAAACGAAAGGAACAAGCTTTTGCACACAAACACATGAACTCTTCGCATAACCATACAATTTGCACTCAAGAGCTTCCCATCCTAACTTACACTCACTCAGCGTCACCTACGTAGCCCTTCTCTTGAAGCTCCTGAATGACCTCATTCTTCATCCTCAACCACAGCTTCTGAGCTTCCTGATCCAGCTTCTTATTCTGCAACTCCTTCTGATAATTAAACGCATCTTTGTCCGTCTCAACGAACCCTTTCGGGCCAATTGTCGTGCCGATCATCCCCCCCTTGGCAACAAACTCTTCCATGGCTTCTTCGTCGCCTGGGTAGGGGAACTGTCGACGCTCGTACAGGTGCGCCAGCTCTCTCTCTTCCTTGGGCTTAGGCTTCAGCGTCCACCAGCCGAGTGGTGATTTCTCGTTGTAGTACCACGCTACGCCGAAAAGAGTGTATGTGCATAGCAAAGCCTTGCCTATTTGTTTCCAGAAGTAGTAGTCTTCCTTGCCCAGTCCTATCTTCTTCAAGTACTTCTGGGCGTTCAACGATTTGGCCAATTGGTACCCTGAAATGTAAATAAAAAAATAAGAAAAGCTTAAGGTTTTTCATTGAAGCATTTCATCAAACAGTTGGAGAGTTGTAGCAAAAACCAAAAACAGAAGCACAAAGCGGGAAAACTATTGTCTTTGATTTGCTATTTGCCCTCTCGTAGCACATAATTACCTGCTTTGGCATCCTGATAGCGTTTGCGAATCATTTGCGGTCAGAGAGTGGTGAGGACAATCGATCTCTTTTCTCTAATCGTCCCCTGAATCAAAACTAATATCTTGGCAGTTCCACGTGCTAGAAGATGAAGGGCCTCAAATGGCTAGGGCAAGAGAGACTTGGACTAGGCTCACTTCTAACAACTGAGCTTGGGTTTATATTTTCAGACCCACCAAGAAATAAACCCATATAAGAAAAAGAGATGAAATTAACTGGGTTCAGAGACAGCGTTTTAATCCATTTACATAAAAGAAATTCCAAATATTTAAGCTTATTTTATTGGGTTGAGTTCCACCATATGTTTGGGGATAATGCTTATTTTATTCAAGGGTTAATTTCAATTTAATACACTGAACTCTTACCTTTAAGACACCTTTGCCTCTACTCTCAATTTTAACGATTTCTTACATTTAGGCCCCGTTTGGTTCACGGAATGAATTTGATGGGAATCATTTCCCATGTCATTTCCCAGGGGATAGGAAATGGTGATTCCTTTCCCATGTTTGGTAATGCCGGGAAAGTGACCCGGAAATATCACTTTATTTCCTTTCCCATATTTGTTTTGAGTAGGAATGGAAAACAAATTTTGTTTAGTTTCCCAATTGTATCCCTATTAAAATAATAAAAAAATACCAATAAGTGTTGGATAAAAACTGTAATTATGAATTGTTAGTAAGGACAAATTAGTCAAAAAAAAAGTTAGTCTTACTTTCCCATGGGAAGGGAAAGTGAAACCCAAGTAGGAAGGAAGGCTTCACTTTCCCTCCTACTTTCCTATGTGCTAGGCAACGCTTTCCCATGCCTGACTTTGGAGAGCTTCCAAAGCAATTGGTTTCCCATCCCCAAGATTCCTTTCCCATGAACCAAACGCATAAGGCATTAATAACAAACCATTTTTAACAAAATACCCTTCAACTGACATTGAAATAAGCGAATAAGTGAGACCCATGCTTGCCATGCAAGCAATTAACCGAAATTTTAATGTCGAAGTTGACACCGGAACATATTGTAAAAAATTAAAAAGCTTAGTGTATGTAATTGTTAAAATTGAGAGTACATGCGCAAACGTGCCTTAAGGAGTACTAAATCGATTTAACCCCTTATTGATATATTTTTTAAATTATAAATTCAAGAGAAAATTTATTTATTTATTTATTTTTTTCCAGATGGATGTTAGTTTATAGTTTGGTAATATGGAAAGAAAAGAACTGAAAGGACTTAAGCAAGTATTTAGTACCAGTTTGTACAAGGAAATAAATGGGAAGCAAAGACAAAGATGGAACTTGTGGTTCACTTGTTTCTTAATCATTCTTGCTTAATTGACAGTTTCACACCACCATATGAGACTCACTCATCATTGTAGTCTCTTAGCAGAATGGCATACACAAGCACAATGCTCCTAAAACAGACTATATATACAAGGGTTTCAACAACCAAGGTAAAAAAAGCTAAAAAAAAACACCAGAGTGAATGCAGAAAACAACTTCTTATGTTGTATTGCTTCTTTTAACGATCAACGCAGAGTTCCGACAGTCTTTTTATACGTGTACCACTTGGATATCAAGAGATATGCTCCTAGGTTCAGAACACTCAGCACTGCCAATAACCAGAAGAAATAATCAAGGTGTCCATAATTCAAATTGTTCGGAATCCATCCAGGATTCTTGTTCCTCGTAGTTGTGTGGGTAACAATGGTCACAAGAATAGAGTTGAAGTAGTTTCCTAGAGCAACAGTGGAGAGTGAGAGGGCAGAACACAAGCTCCTCATGGCATCAGGTGCCTGATCATAGAAAAACTCCAACTGTCCTATGAATGTGAAAACTTCTGCAGCTCCTATGAGGAAATACTGAGGTACTTGCCAAAAAACTGACATGGGCATGTGCTCATATTCATAATAGTTATGCTCTCGAACACTTCGGAGTCTGATGAGTTCCAAAACTGCCGCACATATCATGGAAAATATGGAGATGAAGAGGCCAATCCCCATCCTCTGGAGTGTGGTTAGGCCATTCTTGTGACCAGTGTATTTTCTAGCTACTGGGACAAGGACTCGGTCATATATTGGGACCCAGAAAATGACACTAAGGGTGTCGAAGATGGAAAGAGATGCTGCTGGGATTTCGAAGCTAGAGTGGCCCACACGAATATCCATAAGGGTGCCTTGCAACACAAAAAAGTTGCTCATCTGATTGTAGACAGCAGCAAAGATGATACCAGTTGCCCATATGGGAAGCAGCCTTATGATTGATTTTAGCTCCTCCACTTGAGTAACTGTACTAAGTCTCCATGGGTCTTTTGAGTCCTTTATATGGTCGGATTGTACCTCCACTGCTGCTTTGTCAAAGAACCTGGACAGTAAAATTACAGGTCAACAGAACAGCAACAACAATGCAAGAGAATCAAAACCAATGTGCATAAAAGAATTCTCAATCTTATAGTTTGATTACTCAACTCAACCAGGCCTTAATCTGAATTGGGACTGCTTACATGGATCCTATATATGCAAAACTATTTAGTATCTGCCACATGAATTTGCTTTGCCATCCAATCTTATCCTATGAAAATCAACTTTTATAAATAATCCAAGCTTTTTTCAGTTTAGATCGGAAACTAACCTAAATTCATTTGTGTGATCAAGTTTGCGGCTTCCTTGGATGGACGAAGACTCTGCATCTGCAGTCTCATACAAAAGGGACTTGTCTTCGGGAACTTTCACCTTGTATTTTCTCACAGATGCCACCAGCACCTGAATTATGCGTGTCAGAGGGCTACCTCCAGGCTTCTGATTCCTGTATAACTGAGTACCCGAAAAGAAACTCACTACAGCAATTGCCATGGCAACGGCTGGAACGCCGAAACCCCATCCCCAACCCACATTTTGTTGTATCCACACCAGCACAGAGCTGGCAATCATAGCACCAACATTAATGGAAAAATAGAACCAATTGAAGAAAGAACCCTTGTGTTTCTTTTCAACCTCATCATCATCATCAAACTGGTCTGCTCCATAGGATGAGACACAGGGCTTAATCCCACCAGTCCCCAACGCTATCAGGTAAAGTGCTATGAAAGTTGCTGCAGTTTGGCCACCATTTGCATGGCAATTGTCTTTTCCTGAACAGGTTGGTTTCAGTCCCGGGACCGATGCAGACATTGTCAAAAGTGTCATCCCCTATGCAAATCATTACAGAATCAGTAAGTGTCTATTGAGGGAGTAGATTAAACCCAGCAAGAAACAAACTTCAACAACCAAGGTCATATTTTCATAAACATTAAGGCACTGGATATGATTCTAAGCTTGTATTAAGCTAATAGGGAATCAATAAGGATAAGCAAAATAAAAGATACCCAGAATAAAATGCCATCCATGGGGTGTTCAAGTAAATCATTTTGCTTCATCAAGTTGACCTCAGCTGCTTATGTATATATAAATATGAAGGTAAACTAACTTACAATGACATAGATGATTGAGAAGGAGGCAATAGTCTTGTATCTTCCCAAATAGGCATCAGCCAGAAAAGCTCCAAGTAAGGGGGTGAGGTAGCATGTTCCACCCCAATTTGAGTTATTTTTGGCAGCAACAGCACTGGTTTGGTTTAGTTGAGTCTTGAAATAAATCACCAGATTAGAGCTCATCCCATAGTAAGCCAATCTTTCACAGCACTCATTCCCTATTCACAAATTAAACCCAAAAAAAAAACATAGATAATTAGTATCTCACAATAATTTACAGGACCAAATTCCAAGAGTTGCTGCTGTACCTAGAATAAAAGGGCAGGCTTTCCAGGTTCCTGTGGCATTTCTCTTAGCTGGGTTTCCACGAAAATCCACAGTCCCATCTTTGGTGTATACATCTTCTGCTGCTGCTGCTTTGGTGGGCACATCATCTTCTGCCATGGCTTTTAGACTCTATGTGCTCTTTGCCCTTTTGGGGATATACCCAAAATTCAATCAAACAGTAGAGACTCTAGAATCAGCTAGAAACCCAGCAACCGCATTAAACAAAGAGAGTTATACCTCTGCATCATCAAATTTGTTTCACAAGAGAGAGAGAGTGCATTGAAATTTAAACACTAGATAGACTCTTTGCCCAAATTCAAATTCAAATTCATACCAGAGGACCAGAGGCATGCACAGGCTGAGGCGCAAGAGTGGCAGAAGTTGCAGCTTCAGATGGATATTAAAAATGTAAACTTTGTTATTACTGGGGCAAGAAAAATCTAAAGCAGAATGGTTTGTGATGGTTCAGAGGCCAATAGAGAAATAAAACTTGCAATTGCCAGTTTGCTTTGACTTCAATTATAGTGTCTCACAGGCTGAGCAAAGTCTTGTGTGTGGGCCCTACAATACTGTATGCCTCCTGTATGTGGCCAAGAATATGTAAAATATTACATTTGAACTTTATCTTAAGGACAGATTCCGTCAAGTTGTGTTGTCACGCAATCGGCATGGGGTGGATATTCCAAGTCTTCGACAGCCGTATGTGAATATGGACTTGAACATGTCCCCAATCGCATCCAGTTGTTACCAGTCTATTAATATTTCTTTTATTAATATTGTAAGAGATTTGAGTGGCCAATACCTTATTTTTTATTGATCAAGAAAAATAAACGGATGATTGTTAATTTAGAGCAGACTTCAACTTGAAAATTTATGATTTATAATCCTGTTCTTCATCATGTTCTTCATCATGTTCTTCATGGTTATATGAGACAGCTTTAATATTTAATTTATAATATAATTTATGTTTCTGCAGAAGAAACTTTGCGTATCAAACTATGCTAATATCAACCTGTCAATTCATATGGTTTACTCCGTAACGTTGGCTTCCACAAAAACCATACTTTAAAAGCACTTGAGCTTTCAAACTAAAAATATATTCTGATAATAAAAATAAAATACATAGTAGATTTCCAAGTCAAGTGTGAACCAAAAAAATAGCCGACTCTTGTGCGTTGAAATCTAGTCGGAAATGACAAACACAAAAGGGCAGAGAGGCTAAAAGTGTTGTTCAATTGTACAAAGGATTTTGGAAGGGCCAGCTTGTCCCATTTCCACCTTTCTGTTTCAGCATAGCTTGCGTACTCCGATATTAGCCTAACTCAAAAACCAACGGCTCCATTCAAGCGGCCAAAATAGATTACGCCAGTTGATCAAAGCAGTGTGCTCGCTCTTTTACACCTGGACAAGAATAAACATAATCACTCACAGCTATTCTGGACAAGAATAAACATAATCACTCACAGCTATTGGTTCGAATTGTACTCGTGGGTTTACTTTGTAATTTTGTTGTGTATCAGTCCTTATTTTCTTCTTACGCAAATAATTATTTTTTGGCTCGAAGCTATAATTGGTGTATTAATCGTACGCAATCCTATTTGCATTAAAATCTAATCTAATGACAATCATTTGACCGGTTCTCAAGGACATTAAGTCTGCCATCTTCCCCCTAATAAAAGTAAAAAAATTGTGCATCACTAAAAGTTGTCAATATACTCATCCTTCTTCATAAATTACACAACAAAAATGAACCCCTCCTATTACATGCCACTTCTTCCCTACCCTCTTGCACATTCATAACCCTTTTACAATTTTTCTTTTTCGTCTTCTTCTTTTTTTTTGGGGACAGCATTGGGTAGGTGTGGTGGCAGCTACCCCCTCAATTACAGCCGTACATCAGCCAATGGAAGGCCAAGCAACCAAGCCTGCACGGCGAGTAATGGTGGTGGCGGATCCTACCCGAGAGTCAGCCAGCGCGCTTCAGTATGCGCTCGCTCATGTAGTGCTCGAACACGATGAATTGATCCTCTTCTTTGTCGAGAACCAAAACACGTGGCGAAACACATTCATGACGCTGCTCAAAATACCTGGGCTTGCCTCCTTGGCCGTAGCCGCCATGTCCTTGGAAGGGATCAACGCAGAGGAGGGCGTGGATTTTCTTGAAGAAATGAAGAATGCATGCAAGCGTGTGAAGCCAAAGCTGAGTGTGCGTGCGGAGAGGATGGGAATGGAAGATGGCAAGGACAAAGCCAACACTATCCTGCATCAAAGCGATGCTCTTGGGATTGATATCATAATTATAGGGCAACGGCGGAGAATTTCTAAGGAAATCCTAGGGTGAGTTTTCTTGTACATGTTATGTGTTCTAGTTGTTACAATGTCTTATCATCCAAATTACGTGATAAGCGATGTGTCAAGTTATATAATACAAAGTACTTGACGTAATAATTGAATTCTCACCTGTCACATAATGCGATTCACTAATATATCCTAAACATGTCTTTTGTCTACTCCTAAGAAATTAAAGTGCCATCAAACTTTATTAAATTTTTTGTTTTGGGTCAAATTAACAGTGCTGTTGAGATGTAGCATATGTGAAGACAGATTATTCAGCTAGCTATATTATTTGCTAATTAATTCTTTGGTTTGCTCCTACGAAACCAGAACATATACGTGGCCTGGAGCCGGGCGAGGGACGACTAACAAAGCCATAGACACAGCAGATTATTTGATTGAAAATAGCAAGTGTGATTGTGTTGCTGTACAGAAAAAGAGCCAGGATGGAGGCTACCTTCTCAACTCAAGAACCCACAAAAACTTCTGGCTTCTGGCTTAACCAAAACTCAGCAGATTATGCTTCATCGATTTCTCATTTGTCTTTAATTTCTCTTGGTCAAGGAGCCAACCATATGTACATAAAAGGAAATTGTACATATTTGGCAAAATTTCTGGCTCCTTAAAAACCATTCATTTGACAAATGCTGGGTTGCAGCCAACTGTACAAAGTCCCCTTCTTTGTTAATGTGAAGCACACACCCTTTGGTCCTTGGACAAATCAGGGGCGCACCAGAAAGCTGTAGAGCCTCAGTTTAGGCAAATTGTAATTTCAAAGAAAAACAGAGAATTTGTTCTGAGAGCCTTCAGGGCAGCTCTGACCTACCCACCTTGCTACTTTAGCAGAAAATTACTTCAAAACAATGTTGTTTCCATATATTTTAGTGTGAAAGCAAAATTTGGTGTCACATGACAAACGTGGGTTAGATCAATTGACTAAGGGATATTGTGCTTGCTCTGTTGCACCCGAGTTTGATTATTCTCCCCATACATTAGAATAATTGAAAATATCATTTTATAGAAAATAAAAATAAAACCTTAATGTCACATGATAAGTTGTTGAAAGAAAAAAAAAATCATACAAATTGTGCAGCCAAGTTCTGACTGAGCAAGGTGAACATGGGTTTGAAATAGGTTGGGCTTAAAAGTTTTGATCCAAGCCATGGCCTTCAAAATATGGGTTTATATGTTTTGATTGATAATATCGATCTGGGCCGGTCGAACAATATAAACAAAGAGCCTCAATAGAAAGGGACGGCATTGATATTTGACTAATCAATCAATAGAGACAATAAAAAATGATAGTTGAATTTAGAACTTTAAATTCCATGTTTACACCCACTTCACGATGGAGACATACGAGAGGAGTGCAAAATAATCTTTTTGAAATGTCAATAACAACTCTCTTATTAATTTGTCCTGGGAAAAGGAAGAAAATGAAACACAAGACGAAACTGGGAAATGACAAGAAATATATGAATTAATTTCATCTGTGTAATTAACTCATGCAAGGTTAGATGAGCTGTTACCAACCCCTCTCAAATCTTTAGCTTTCAGAAAGCAAACCTTTCCGGTCGATTTGGCAATCCAATGACAACCATCGCTCAACTATAAAAAAAAAAAAATGGTTCGTGTTAACACATCCTTTATGTATCTATCGTCCACCCACCACATTCACACACACACATTTTCACCAATTATAAAATGGATAGAAAATTATCCATATTAAAGAACCATCTTAATTAGTTATGCTCATAACGAAAGATCATCCTAATTAATTTGTTTAAACACATCAAATTAGAAATACAACAAACTAATCAATTTGTTATTGATTCTGAAAAGCCTAAAAAGTGTGCTCGACATGCAAACCCTCATTTTGGTAGTCCAAATGTCATATCCAATCTCCGTTTTGGCAGAGAATGATTCAAGTTCAAATCTCAAAATCTTGTTGATGACCAATGGAAAAGGTAGACTTGCATACCAGATGTCTCAGGTTCGAATTCTCACGGCATTATAGTTGTGTGTGTGTGTGTGTGAAATCTTTCTTCTTTGTAGTTTAGACTATCACTTCTACCCAAAAATGGAATAGATCAGCTGATGATCAGACAAATTAAAACAAGTGAATATAATAAATAGATGTAATTAGTCAATAACAATATAAAAACAAAAAAACAAAACAAAACAAAACCATGAAAAATCAAGTGGGTAATTCTGTTGAGACAGTGCCTTGTTGTGTATGTCATCTCCTTGACCTTGGAGAGCTTCCATGGTTCGAAAAGCAAATCGATATCTACTTTTTTGTTAGTTAGCTGGGGTTTGGGTGTACTTTACCCAATACGGCCACCAAACCATGCAGTGGCTGATCTGATCTGACCACCCAGCCCAATTCAAGAAATTGACATAAACCTTATACACTAGCTTCAAATCAAACCAAGTGTTTTAGTTGACATATAACTACTTTGTGTGAGACACAAGATAATTAAGATAAAGAAGTTTCTGGCCTGCTGCCGTACGTAAAAACAAGTTGTTTTTATTATACGTAGAGCTTCATTCTCAAGTATCCCTTCATCTACCAAACTACGCAAAAACGACATGGCAGCAGCACAGCACTACGTAGTTTTTATCTCTTTATAAATTTGGCTTGGTCAATAGCTTCTTCTGCAGCACAGCATTACGACATAGAACACACAAAAAAAACTGAGGGTCTCAGAGAGAGAGAGAGAGAGAGAGAGAGAGAGAGAGAGAGAGAGAGAGCTATAAGGATCAAGAGAGAGAAAAATGGAGATGGTGCCTTCGATTCGTGCCTTGCTTTTGGTGGCTTGTTTGTTGTTTCCAGCATCAGTGGAATGCATGGTTCGACATTACAAGTTCAATGTAAGTATAACATTAATTTTTGAGTTAATTATATTAATCCCCTTGTTTTGCATCTATTTTAGAGTAAACTGTAGCTAGTTGCCACCCTGCAGCCACATTCTTTCATTGACATAGGGTTAAGACATCTAATATAGCTAAGAAGATGACCGGCAAGAGTTCTCAAGTGTAGAGATAAATGCTTTATTATTGAATATTCACGATCCTGTCTTGTATATATGTAACAAATTGAATACATACGGGTGAGATTTGAAATGGTTCATTTGATCCAATATATACATGCATGCTAGCAAGACATGCAGAAGGTTATC